CGCTTGCCGGCAACATCACGTTTGAAATGGAATCGCTCAAAGTTGGCACAGTGATAGAAGTCACTTTGGAGAGCAGAGCAGACCGCGATTCGTCGTCGTTGCTGTCCTACAACGCGCGCAATACTTGGCCATAAATACTAAGCGCTCTTAAAACGTTAAAATGCAAATGACCGCATTGGCACGCCGTAGTCTTTGTCTCTTGCACTTGTAGTGACGATCTCCTTCCACTGGATCAAGAGTGCGATTCCTAGCCACATTCACACAACTACTACGTCCAGCGCCATCGCGTCGTGTGGAGCGATTGGAAGGAGAGGCTTGTAGCTCACAATTCTCGGGCTTCCGCACTCGCGGTGATCTACAGTATTGTCACAACGCGTGTGATGGGATTCATGGATCCTTGTATGTCGGAGGAGGTCGCAAAGAACAATCGATTTCTATGACGTGGCACTCGGAGAATGTCCCATCTTGGCGCAAATGCTCAGTCGTGTAAAAACAAGTGTAAAAGCGAGCACGACAAAGGAGAAACGCAAAGTTCTTACAAGAGAATTGTAGAAGCCTTGAGCGGTGCTCATTCCGCAATTTGCGATTCGGGGCCTCGGTCGCAAGGCACCGTGTCGCACGGTGGGGTGGTCGCAAGCGCGTGTCCTGTCGACCGTGGACGGTGAAACTCGTGTGGCTGAAGTCCCACTTTCGTCACAAATCCCTGCAATACAGGACAATGGCTCGCCAGGTAAGCAAAGATCGCTGCGTCGCCAAGCACGCGAATTGGCTTGGGTCTGCGTCGTCGAGTATCGATGATCACCAGGGGACTACCTCGTAGGATGGGGGTGGAATAGAGACCAGGCATTGGCTATAAATCGGAAATGGAGACCAGGCCCGCAGTGAACCTCTCACTCGGCGGCGCGTCAGATACGATCTCTACTCGATTTTAATTGAGCGAAGCTTGCAGCCCTCTACAGCCTCCTACAGTGGCCGTTCGCCTATGGTCCTCGTCGTGCTTGGCACTTCCCTTGTTCTCCAAGGCGTCGGTGTTGCGTTCGTTCGGTTTGGCGTACCACACGTCTTCAGCGCAACTTGGGTCTCACAGATTGACTAGGTTCCGAGTTTGCACGAGACACGCGAGGTCGAGATTTTTGCGCTCTTTCCGCGCCTTCTCGTGCTCGCACCACCCGCTTGTCGTGCACGGCGCGCGCAAGTATGCCATTGTGAGCTTGTGCACGCGTCTCGAGGACCGGGTCGGGTCTGGTCAATCTCGCGCCGCCGGCTGCGAAGGCGCCCAAGGACGATGAGATGGTGCGGACGGCGCATGACCACGTCGACGACCTTTTTCACGCGGCGCCGGGTCTCACGGATGCATACCTCGAGACCGAGCCCAACGCCGCATCGCGCCTTGGCGCACAGTGTGCTATTGCGACGCTTCTCGCGTTTGGTGGCGACGGCATGGGCGAAGCGCTCCTCTTGAGCAACTCATTCAGTCGCACGTGGCCACGACGCTCGAGACACCAGCAATTACCAACGTTTAAAG